CCCAGGTTGATCACTAGTTTTACTTATTTTTAGTATTTTATATGAAAATTTCAGTCCTTTTTTAATTTTTTCTTACTCCCATATCTGGAAAGAAACTAATATTAAAACATCCATCACATTTTTTGCTTTCTTTGTGCATTTTTGAATTTAATTCAAGTTTAATACGAACTGGTCTCTCACGATTGGTACGGGTCCTTCCTATAATTACTCCTAACACGTTTGACAACTATGCTTTTGCTGTTGTTGAAATGGTATGTGCCTTATCTTACAGTCAGATAGCACATTACGTAGCCTGTATTTCTGCAAGTTATGTTAATTTTCCTCTGTACTTCAGGTGCTATTGTTTTTTAAATGCAATTAATTGTTTAAAAAAAAAAGACTACACAAATACGTATAAGTTCTGTAGCCTCCTTCTATTTTTATTCATATCTAGGATATTTCATTTGAGGAAACCTCTACTCATTTCAGTTGAGTTCTACCACAGAACTTCTGGCAGAAAGAAAAAGAAACTAGGCTTAGGCTGCACGTTCACACAAATGTGTGGCTGTGTGTGCCACAACTGGTAAGCAATTAATGCTTGTGTAGTTTGTTCAGGTTGTAGGACAAAATTGTATGTGATAATATGATCAAAATTTATTTCTTCAATATCAACATAGTATTGATGACTTTTTCAGTTACAATAGGATTTTTTTTTTTTAAATCTTAACTGCTACAATGCATGTTCCTTTTATCTAGTGCTCATCACTATACTGTGAGATTCTTCAATGTTCATGACACAAAGGCTCTTCTCTCCCTCGGAATTCTCACAGTTGCAGTTTAATGTAGGGATTTTAGGTCATCTCAGAACTTACCCTTTTCCAAGAACAGTTTTAATCTTTGTATAGTAGTTGAATATATTTCTTATAATTATGTTTCAAGTGTTATTGCAGCTATATTTCAGATTTTACGTATGTAAGAAGATGCTATATTATTTTAATACTGATGGTAGAGTAAAAAATCTATTCAATATTCACCTTTCAGGAAGCACAATCAAATATCCAAGAACACTATTAGACTTGCCTAGCATAAAGTTTCAATCTGCTAATGGGTTTTAAATTGATGTCATAATGCTGCAATTTAAATACATGATGTTCATTAATTTTGTCAGAACTCTTAGTAGAGTAGCAGCAGTACGAAAGGAGGAAGGTTATATTTTCTATACCTGCTTCTTTTTATCTGCTTGCCCATTTTTGATACACAAGAACAATCATTACATCAGCTTGGGGCAGGGGTGAAGTTTACTCAAATGACAATAGGTTTCAATTAGGTAACTACTGTGGACTTGTATCAAAGCGATATTTTCTATGAAATAATACCAGGAATAGGATAAAAGTAACTAACATTTCTTAAAGAAGGATTTCATGGGACCTGTTACCAAAAATCCATAGGTACAAAGTAGAAGAAATAAGGGACAGAAAGGTCATCTTGCCCATACACCTTGTCACTGAAAGGTCAAAATTCACGTACTTGAGCCAGACAGCAATACTGCAAAACAGGCAGCCATAGTCTCTCGCAAATCTCAGGGAGTCCCCTCAGATGTGGACATTGCAAAGGGAAAAGAGATCACGCTGTGGAGGAATACAAAGGGATCCCATTCTCTTGAGGGGAGGGAGTGTGGGCACTGGATACGAATTTTCTAGGTGAAGAGTCATCTACTTCAGAAATGTCTCAAAAGTCAAACTAAAATGTGTCTAGACATAATGGACCAGTATAGTATAACGCTTCGTATCTATTTATATTTCAAATATAGTATGTTTACTGTACATAAAGTCAGTTTTTCCAAAGATGTTGCTATAGCTACAAATCAAGGAAACCATAGCAACAAGCCTGTATTATGTACAGCCTTAATTAGGGATTAAGTTATGTGTCTCTTTGCATTTTATATTAAATATTCGCATATAATCTAGTTATAGTAATCTTAATTTTTTTCAGACTTTTTAATAATAAAAATTCCATCATATTATACTAAGTCAAATACACATCACCCCTGAAATATGCCTTTACTACATTATTCTGATCACACCTAATAATGTAGACATCACTGGGTTTTACCCGAGATAAACATAGATGTTCGTATCACCATATTTCCTGATGATCTTTAATACAAATCATTGATCACTTCAGCCTTAACTACCAAGTAATTGATTTTCCATCATCCTACAAGGTTTTCAAGTCTCATCCCACTCAGCTTTGCCCCAAAAGAAATCAGCTCCTCCTAACTCCAGCTTTTTTCCCAATGGATTAAAGTCTCAGGTTTTCTTCCCCCCCCCTTTTTTCCTCAGAAAGTAACTATGCAAGGGAGGGACAGGAAAGGCTAGATTTTCTAGCTTCCCTGTCACATCAGATGACTGACTGGATTGGTGGCAAATTACTCTAATTACTCTGTTTTGTTGACCTTGTACGTATACTATTTAAGTACACCAAGAAGCTGGTATTAGAGAGCCCTGGCACACTGCATGCAGCCAGGCCTCAGAATGGAGCCTGAGAGGAACAGGTAAAGGAGAACAGAGAACAAACATGAAAAAAAGAGGGAGAAGGATGTTGGAAGTGGCTGAGGAACAGAAGGGAGTGCTATCGGACAGCAGGAGACACGTAGGACCCAGTGGGGTGATAGGCTTCAAAGGACACCTTACAAGACTATGAACACATTCATCAGGTGTGCGTATATTCTCTCAACAAAAGAGAAAAGAGAAAGCCAAAATCATGTCTTTAAAAGCCTTCTATCTTCCCTTCCATCACATAATGTTCCGACAGTTCATTATGGTACAGTTTCCTCACCTCTTGGTCCTTGCCCATTAATGAGATGGCATGTGTCCCATTTTGCAAAAAAACTTGGCCACATTTGTTTAAGGCATTAGCTGCACTCACAGACTGGACCGTGTGCTTATTTTACACACCATAGCAGCATAAAAAACTAGAAAAGAATATCTTGATTCTATGAAATGAGCAGAAATTCAATGTATTTGGCACTTATAAAAGTGAGAGATCTGTGGTTTTAATCTCTATGAACAATTGAGAATTGCTGGCCATTTTAATACAAATAGCATACAAATGTATATTTTATAAAGCAATCTTTGTTATACAAACTGTAGTATGAGAAAGCTATAAGTGTGAGTTAGGAACATGAGCCATGTAAAAGCTTTTACATGGGCAGCACAATAAAACTTCCCTCACACAGGGAATAATTAAGTCAGAAGATAGTGCATTCACAATTAGCAAGGCATGTTCCGTTTCTTCATTATAATTTTAATTAGCAAATATTAATGTAATCTGCAAATACAAGGGGGAAAACAATTAAAATTACTAAGTTTAAGGAATCCTTCATGACCTAAGCTAAATTGAGACAAATTTCTTACTAATCGATACTGGTCACCTACTTTCAGGACATTCATTTCCATTTACTGTGAGAACTTCCAAGCGTGTTATCAAATTTAAGAATGAATTAAGGCTCCCACAAGCTACACCTAACCTCTGATGAAGGCAATGGTGAATAAAAATGGATTAGCATGCTCCTCTCCTCTCCAGTTATCAGTTCAGACCGATAGTGATCAAGTGACCGTGGCAGGTCTACCTCATTCAGATTCCACACCTGTCGCTGTGGAAATAACCCAGGGACATGCAGCACACACTGTCCCTCATTTTTAGTGCGTTCCTGGCCCTCCTGTATTTGAGATATGCTGGATGGAGCCTTAGCCCTTTTGAACTCAACAGCAGCTCCCATTCATTTCACTGGGACTAGGATTCACAACCTCAAACAGATTTCCTTCTGGGTGCTTGTCCTTTTTCTGCTCTGTAGATAATATTCTTTGGCCTCCGACATACTCAGTGCTGCATCTTACATGGACAACGATTAAAAGATACAGAAGTTTAAAAGAAAATGCCTCCTAAAAATCTATAACCCTCTCTCAGTCTGATTTTCATTTTAACATTCTAAAGGTAAAATCATAACTAACTTGTCCAATACACTTATAGGACTGAATATCATGAAGTGGTAAAATATTTTCATTCTCTGTAAAAGCTGTTATGTGAATGAATTTCATTCATAAGTAATAATAATTGCAATTTTATAAAGAAAAATAAGTAGCATTAAGTGGAAGTCTGATAGTATTTCTCATGACTGACAGTGTTGTAACTGATCAGAAACAACTTTTAGAAAGAGTTGATTTTTTGCAGTTAGCTTATTTTGCAAGTTTGCGTCTGCTGTAAAGGGGGAAGGGGAGGGTGCGGGAGGGAAGGGAACAGAAGAGTCTGGAGAAAAAGCACCTCTACTACCAAAACCCAACAATGTCACTAGATATTTTGCCAAGACAGTTTAAAACAGGAGTCCCTGTAAAATATAATTTTATCACACAAGTATTTTTATCACACAGCAAGTATTTTGCAAAGCAGATACAGGCCAAAGCATTTTACAATACAGACTGGAAATACATACCCGGCTTTCAAGTAGCTACCACGTGTTAATGTAATAGCTTCAGAAAAATCTAGTCAACATCTAGCTCTATAACTTCTCAACACTCACATATGTTCAGTTCACAAATGATTCCCTTTTCCTCTTCCATGCACTACTACTACAACTACTACTTCCTTGGGTATCCCAGGCAAAATTAAACATTTTTAGAAGTTTATTACAAACTCACACAGGAAATTTTCTTTTGAGTTAAAGGGACTGAAGGCTTGAAATTAATATGAAAAATTCTCTTGCTTGTATAAATACCAGTTTTCACTGCAACCAAGCATGATTTTGAGGCCATCTCACTGCTCTCTCCACTGGAGACATGACAGAAATTAAAGAAATTCAATAGTCATTTAAATGGTAGCACAGATTTAAAAGACACTTTGCTCAGAAACATTGCTTGCTTTAGTTTTTACACTGGACAGGTTGGTAGAAAACCAGTTATGTGGGATCAGAGAAAGAGAAGTCTACTGGTCCATTTTGCTGTGCTCTTGATACCAGGTCTTACCTCTTGTGTTTTCACATTTATATATCCATAATGAGTTCTCAGAGGCTGCCTTTGGCCATTAGAAAATGGTATCCATTTGACACTGGTTTGTCCAAAGCAGTTTAGGATCAAAGGGAAAGTTACTTCATTTGTGAGACGAACGATGATCAGACAGAGGAATGCTGCAATGAAACTCACAGCAACAATGGACTTTCTCTGTAATGAAAAGAAGAAAGAAAATAAATTATTAAAATTAAGAATTAGTTTTAATAAAGAATACGTCTCTTCTATTGTAGGATGAGGGAAAAACACTTTAGAAAGCTTCGTGTGAAATTACTTTTATGGTAGTCACCTTGCTGCAGGAGCACCAGGAGACAGGTGACTGGATCATTTTGTTCAAATAAATTTCCATTTCAGAGGTTTCGACAGTTTCTTTTAGAACTGATTTAAATTTTATTTGTATTTGGAATGAAGATTTTTATAAAAACATCCACATCAAAGTCTCCATTCAAAATCATGAGTGCTCCAGACACGTGACAAATACACAAAGTGAAAATGCCATTTGCAGCCATACCATACCAAGTTTATCGTAAAGAAGATGATCTCTACAGATTGTATTTATTGTGCGTTAATTTTAAATCATTCCTGTACAACAGAATTCATACTCTAACCTTAAATATTTTAGAATAAATGTAAAGTCAGCACAACGTTCTGCCTCATTCCAGGTTCACAAATTTATGGAGTGAGGCATTATTATCTTGGACAATATGACCTCCATCGTTAATAATGTAACAGACCTGAAGCCTGTATCTAATTAACCTTTGCTTTCCACCTCTAACCTACCCAGTTGGTTGGACTGGTTAATGGAACCACAGAACAGTATCAACTTTTTCCCCTGGGTAACTACCCGGTCCGCAGGAGAAAAAACTTGTAAGAAATATGATGTTCCCCTCATTTTTAGCTATTTTTTTAAATATTGCAGTCAATTACTTCTAGACAAATTAGTTAAGGACAAAACATGTTAGTTGGTATATGTAAAGATTTTATGTATGATATTCTATCATAAAGGTTATTTTTAAATTTTCCCTGAGGGAATGGAACAATGATCATTTATAGGTGTTTTTACTGTACTTTAATTACATTCTAGCTTTACCTAATCTGCCACAGTTTAATCACCCTACTGAATGTAATTCTATCTCTCTAAACAGTAAGATGTACAGAAAACGGGGAAGGGGGGATTATTTGCCTATAGGCCTTCATAAGTATATAGTAACACTTAATGCTGGATGGCAGAATCTAATCACCCCAACTGTGGTCTACAAATACCACCAGCTATCAGGAACCAGCAGAGTACACATTTAAGACAGCTTTCGTACACGATGGCAGGAAGATCGCACATACTGCAATGGCGATGGAGGGGTGAAAGGTGAGCTCTGATTGCAACCATATAAGATAACTCTCTTCTTTGCCTGGAGGTTCATTAGACAGAATGAAGAAACTAAAATTCAAAATGCTGAGCAGAAGAAACAATGATATTTACACAGCAAACTTACTGGGAAAGAAGTAGACAAAGTTTTACTGAACATGAGCATGCAAGGGCTCTGTGCCCATGCATAAGGCCTGCAGGCACTGCTGCCATGCTTCGGTTCAGTTTCTGGACAGGGAAAACAGTGAGAATCATAAAGACCACACAGAAAATTTGAAGGGATATTACTGTATTCTCACACAGAGTTAACAAAATCATACATTATGGGGCTCAATTGCACAGCTACATCTATTTTGATTTATTAGGAGGCTGCAATTTATAAGCCAAAAGCAACGAAATACTGAGATGGAAAATTTGGATGAATGAGGTCACTGTGAGGAGAAAGAGAAGAAGATGATGATGAAGAGAAGTATTGTGGCAATGCAATTCAGTGAGGAATCTGAGTCAGCTAATGGCTGTGCAATGTAAAATTAAACTCAGCAAATCTTCAGAGGGCAGCGCAGCAGCCGCAACCCAATCACAGCTTTCAGAATTCATGGAAGCCGCTGCACTTTTCATCAGCTGCATTATAACAAATTTACATTAAATTGCAATAAACTGGCTGGGGAGCACTTCTGTGTCACTTCTCTTTGTACCAGATGGAGTCAGAAATGTTTTGCTATATATCAGGGCCTTGTAAGTGTTAAGAGCAGCCAAGATGTGCAGTGCAAGTGATAATCATAAAGCAATGAGACGGAGCGTGGATTAGTCATATTATTTATTGCAAATCAGAATTAAAATATTGCAAATATTTAAAGAGGAATCTAGAGACTCATTCCACTACATGAGCATGCTTCAATCAAAACATCCACAGCAGGAAGCAGCAATATTGCCCTGCATGATGTCACTACCTGATTTCCACATATTCTATCTTCCTGGTTTGTTGAATACCATTTTTACTTCCTTTATTTTATGCAGAGATGTTCTGAACTTGAAAACACTGCAATCACTTTGTGCACTTCTCACAGGAAGCTGTTCTAAAGATCCTCTGCCCCAAGAAGAATTCAGATTGTGTAGCTAGATTTCTTGGCCTTCATTAGGATGTCATCTGATTTTTATATTCCTTCTTTTTAAATACACTGTACTACAGGAAGAAAGAAAAAAGTATAGCCGCCTTTTGTTTTCTTATTTAAGAAAATATCGTTTGAAAAAGAAAATAGCAAAGATTTTTCTGGGTGTATTGGTTAGCCAGAAAGAACCTGCACTAACTAGAACAGTGCAATGAGAGAAAGGAATTTTTACAACAGAAAGGATTTAAGGCATCTGTTTTGGAAAAAAAAATCTAGCCATATACAAACACAATTGTCTACTTATCAACTTGTACAAAGGAAGCTTGTGTTAAGGATTCAGTTCTCCTGTAATTTTTGTTAAAGGCAGAAGATCCAACAATATGCATTTTCTGAGAGAAAGACTATTACAAATTGGAATTTCAGTGTCTCTATACATTTTCACTGTAAAAATATTGAAAAAACAATAACGCATCTATTTATCATAATTTTAGCCTTCTTAAGCATCAAGTAAGGCAGTCTGCTCAGTGGCCAAGAGTATTCTAAAGGGCACCCCTAAAAGTAATTTGTTCCCCTTAAGTTCCTCCTTCCTTTACCTGCTCAAGAAAAAAACTAAAAATACAGGCACTATTTGTCAGTAAAAGCTTCTTGTAAAATCTCCCTTTCTATAGATAAATGGATTTTTCTTATCTTTCCTCTGATAAAATTTAGCATTGGAGGCTCCAGGTGCTCTACATGACATTAGGATATGCAGAGAAGTATGAAACTACATACAGGGATGAAAACCAGACTCCAATTTGTCTCAAAATTTGTCTGCATCAACATTTTAAATAGTTACACATCCTACCATTTGGGAGAGCTAAACCAACATTAATTAGCAAGTCTGCACAGAAACAAATCTTATTCCTTCTTAATGTTTAGGTCTCATGAATGCAAATAGTCTCTTAACAAAAGAAATGTTTCTCTAACGTGGAAACATCCCCTGTATAAATCTCAATCAATCTTTATATTTTTCTAGCTAATTTAATGTAGATATTTTGATGTTGCTGATATTTAAATTAAAAAATGCATATTCAGTTATAAACATTTTTTTAATAAATATTCAGTGAGGAGTAAACAATAAGACATATTTTAAACAGTTCCTTAGCTGGACGACTTGCACGGTGTATTAGCTTTTGTAACATTTTATTTCATTCACTATAGTACATGACTAGTCCTGATGACAGCTGCAAGAAGAAAATTACCATACTTATGAATACATGATCTTAGAGCAGAAGAGTGATGGTGTTTATTATTTGTTAATGACACTAAGTCTAAGTAGCTGGCATTCACAGTTTTGGGAAAGAAGGAAAAAAAAAAGGAAAGAAAAAAAAGAAAGAGAGAGAGATAAAAGTGGACACGCTTCAGACTAGAGTACATATAGTGCAATATGCGGGACTCTGCTGGGCAGAAAGCACACACTATAAAACTAAGCATTTTCTTCTCAACTCTTTTTACTCAATCCCCACAATAATATAATCCCAGTTTTGGTTTCAGTTATTTCTCAGACATCAGGCTCATTCTGTCTAGCGTGTATATCAAAATCAATAAGCAGCAGGCATGATTCACACTTCTAAGGCTTCAATTTATATTTACTTTGTTAAAATAAGAATTGAAATAAAAACAGGAGTGTCATATTTTCATACTACTATGCTGGTTAGGATTTCACGAAAAACTTCATGGAAATAAAACAATAACAACAGTACTTTTATGAGTGTAGATATATATATTTGGCAACACGGTCCCTAACGCTATTTCTAACCTTCATATCATCTGGTTTTGGCTATTTACCAGTGCCAGGGTGATTCAATAGCTTCAGTTTGGCAAGAACTTGACAGTCTGAACAAGTTTTAGTCTTTTTTCTTTCATAATCTGTTAAGAAGTGTGAGATGACAAGACCATTTTTTATAGTTCAATAATGCCTGATAGAATAATAAGACACAAACATTTTTTTGTGTTCTCTACAGTTGTCTGGCAGGGAGGAAGAAAGGAAACATTTTCAGCACAAGAAGAGAATTTAATAAGTTGTAAATTTTACTGAGGTATGTACTAAATATCTTTATTCTACTTTCTAGCACAAGAGCAACACCCTGCCACTTGGAATGTATTACATGGCAGAGACTATCAAACCACTTTATGAGCAGTAATAAAGCCCCATCCTAGTGAGATTAACAGTAAAACTCCATTTCACAGATGCATAAACTGAGGCTGAAAGCAACTTGCCTAAGATCACAAAGAAATCAACACAAGCTACTCCTAAGCTTTTAACCTAGAAGTATGTTGTTTCTCAGGTTTATTGTTTCTATTATAACTAACTGCCTGAATTTTTTAAGTGCCAAAGTTGAATATGATACTATGGAGACTCTAGTAAAGAACCCTTGGAAGCAGTAAAGTTCCATGCCCCAAACAGTAATTGAAAATAAATCTTTTTTTCAGAAATTGGTTTTTTACAGTATTCATTTTTTCTGTTATTTTCATGGATACATGATAACACTGCGCTTGGAAGGACGAATCAAAGGTAAAGACTTACATGAGGGCTTTGAGTCTGTTAGATGACACAATATGCAGTAATATTGTATTAGTTTCACAATACCTACCTTTATGAGCATACTGAATAACTCAATCACTTTTTTAATATCTCTGCA